TTCTCCTCCACTGGTTTAATTTTTTTTTCAGCCCTCTTTCCTACAGTTTCTTTCCAATTATGCTTCAATCAATGTATGGAAGTAATACCTTTATTCTTATGTTGGCTTAGAGTTTTTAAGGATATCTGGTAACTCTATATCTACCTCATATCATTTAAGTAAAGTAATCAAACAGGATATACAAAGTGTTTAGTAAAGTGCCTGGCACAGACTAGCCTCAATACACTGTAATTATCATTATCATAACAGTGTTCATAATTTACTAGCTTTAACATTACAGAAGCTAGATCCCTCAAAATAAATTATTTAAGCATCTTCAGGAAGGAGCCAGCCATGTAGCATAAATTGCCTGCTTTATTCAGCAAAACTAATTAAAAGAAAAGAGGAGTTAAGTAATAAAAAATATGTGTACATCATAAGGAAAAATATGAAATGGCCAGGAAGAGTAGAGGTTTCTATGTTCAAATGATATTTGCTAGAAAGGAGAAGTACTCTCTCACTTGTTTATCTTGCTTATTTTTATCAGGGAGGAAGAACAATGACTTAGAATTGACAGGAGACTGATTTTTATAAAATGCTCCTAGACTCTATGGCAAATAGGAAAAGGGAAAATGAGCAACTTGTACTCCCAAGTGCTACAAGTTAGTGTGTACTGAAAGGGAGACCTGCCTGAATTTCAATTAAGGTGAAGAACATTTTACTGCGTACCAGGAACATTTTAAAGCATTTTAGGTGCATCATGTCATTTCATCTTTGTCAACAAATATCTTTACTTTATACATGAAGAAACTAAAACAGAGTTACACAACCAGTAAGTGGGAGTCTGCCAAGCTCCAAGCCCACACTGTTAAGTTTGTGTTATACTGGAAGCTTATATGATAAGCACAGACAATTGGTCTTATCATAGAATATCTAATTTCTACTATCTAATTTCAAGAACACTTATGGAATGGCCACAATGTAAGCACCTCACTACTCATTGTGACCCCAAATTAAAACTGAGTCAGTTCCTGCCCTTGAGTTGTGCACAATCTTAAAATGTACTCAAGAGTTATCTATTTCTCCACTTCAGCTGGTACATTCTAGACCAAGGCACCATCATTCCTCATGCACAACTCTACAAACAGCCACTCCTGACAGGTTTCCTTGCTGTATTCCTGCCCTGCTCCCATTCATTTTCCATACAACAAACAACATGATCTTGTGAAAATACCATTTTGATCATGCCACACACCTGTTAAAATTCACCAGTGAATTTTCATGGCACTTAGAGTAAAAGCCTATCCTCTCACCATGACCTGGAAAGCCCCACAAGATCTAGTCCCTGTCTGTCTCCAACTTTCCTTTCTGCTCCATTACCCTCATCCTCCAGCCACACAGGCCACTTCTCCAGTCCTCAGGCCTCCAGGCTCCCTTCTTCCAGGGAAGCTGATCCCACTCTTCCCATTCTTTGGATATTAGCTTAAATGTCACCTCCTCAGGGGAGGCTTTTCCAACCACCTGTTTCAGTAGGGTCCACTTACCCAACCCACTTTTCCATGTCAGCACATTCTGGGTTTCCTTACAGCACTGTCAACATTTTATATATTAATACATTTGTTTGTTTATTTTCTGTCTTCCTCACTGGAATGTAAACTCCTTGAGGACAAAAACATGTTCACCTAATCACACTATTTTATGTCCTACTTACCTCTGTGCCTGCATACAGTGGGTGCTGAATAAATATTTGTTGAACGAATCAATCAATCAACCAAGTGGGGGAAAGAGTCAACAAACAATTACAACACAGGAGTCAACCATAATGGTTACCATTTCTCTAATGCCCTCAATGAGCCATGCAATGTACCACACATTTAAATTTTTCATTTATTTATTTATTTAAGACAGAGTCTCACTCCATCACTCAGGCTGGAGTACAGCAGCATGACCTTGGCTCACTGTAACCTCTCCCACTTGGGTTCAAGTAATTCTTGTGCCTCGGCCTCCCCAGGAGGTGGAATTACAGCATGTACCACCACGCTCAGCTAATTTTTGTATTTTTAGTAGAGATGGGGTTTTGCCATGTTGGCCAGGCTGGTCTTGAACTCCAAACTTCAAGTGATCCACTCACCTCTGCCTCCCAAAGTTTGGGACTACAGGCATGAGCCACTGTGCCTGGCCGAAATTTTTATTTATTGAGTTCCTATAATGTTCCAAAAGCTTTGCTAGGTCTTAGAAGTATCATCTGTTGTTTCCACAACAACTCTGCAAAGAAAATACCATCATTCTCATTATTACAGATGAGTGCTCTGAGGCCCAGAGAAGTAATGCGATTTATAAAAGGCTACTCGACCAGAAAGTGGCAAAGCCAAGATGCAAACAGAGCAACCTTACTACAAAGACCACATTTTTGACCTGTATCACATTGTCTCTCTAAAATTTGGTAACTTACAAAATACATTGGCTAAGATCAAATCCTTGCATCTCCATCTTGCTATTCTAACCAGCAAATAAAGAACCAGCTATAACCAGGGGATATTCAAAGTGCTCTAGAACACCCTACATGCACTTAATGAAATATAATCACATGTTAGTGTGTTTATGTATATGAAGCATTTGGTGTTGTGCCAAACAGAAGACAAATGGTTACTACACTCAACAGGTGGTTACTATAATGAGAGATACATGCTCAAGGTGGTCAACGGCAAGAACTTTGCAGCCAGGCTAAATCTGAATTTGAATCCTGGTCTCTCCAACTTACTAATTACATGACCTTGGGTAAATTGCCTCACATCTTCAGGCCTCAATTTCTTTGTAAGTTTGCTGTAAGAATGAAATACATTTTAAATGCATTTAATTAATTAAACTCACACATGATAAACACCAATAATCAAGAATTTTCATTGCCATTAGTTATTGAAGTATATCATATAAGGCATGATTAAATCCCCTTGGTGCAGCTGCCTACTATGCTACCTGATGTTAGTACCTCTGTATTTCTGGGGTCACACAAAGCATTGTGGTCAATGACACCAATTGTCAATGACACCAATGGCCAATCTATGATGTCATTGAACTCAACCACACCCTCCACTAGAGAGAGCTCCAAGGGACAGTTATTCAAGTTAGCCCTGGAGAACACCACCAACATTTTATTCACTTGAAGCCTTGTCTCTCATTTGTCTAAGATCCATGCAGATGTAGTTCAGTCCAAGTCCTCTTGTCTAACAAAATTGAGAAATGTAGTTTGTCAACAGAATTTTTTTTTTTTCTTGAGACAGAATCTTGCTTTGTTGCCAGGCTGGAGTGCAGTGGCATGATCTCGGCTCACTGCAACCTCCACCTCCCAGGTTCAAGCAATTCCCCTGTCTCAGCATCCTGAGTAGCTGGGACTACAGGTGCACGCCACCATGTCCAGCTAATTTTTTGCATTTTAGTAGAGACAGGGTTTCACCATGTTGGCCAGGATAGTCTCGATCCCCTGACCTTGTGATCCGCCTACCTTGGCCTCCCAAAGTGCTGGGATCACAGGCATGAGCCACCATGCCTGGCCTGTCAACAGAATTTTAAAAACTACATTTAAAAAAAGATAATTGGAAAAAATGAGGAAATCATTAAAAAAGAATGTATTTAACATTTTAGTCTGCAGCATTTAACTGTACCTTAATTGCCAATTTTTAAATATAGTGCTAAGGCCTTTTCTTTAAAACTGACCTCATTTCTCTTACATAAAGCCCACCCATAAGGTATTATCTACAATTTCCAGTTATCGAAATTCTTTAAAGTGGATCAAGAATATAAAGACCCTTGTGAAACAACTTGAGAGCAGAATTCTTCCAAATTTTTACAATTCTTGAACGATCACCTTTGTCTCGCTTACATATTATTCAATACCAACTTCATTTTATATATGTATTTATTTTTTGAGGCAGGGTCTCACTCCATCACCCAGGCTGGAGTGCAGTACCACAATCTTGGCTCATTGCAACCTCCACCTCCTGGGCTCAAGCAATCCTCCCACCTCAGCCTCTGAAGTAACTGGGACCACAGGCGTGAGCCACAACACCCAGCTAATTTTCATTTTTGTTTATAGAGACAGAGTTTCGCTATGTTGCCCAGGCTGGACTCAAACTCCTGAGCTCAAGTGATCCGCCTATCTTGGCCTCCCAAAGTGCTAGAATCATAGGTACAAGCCACCGTACCCAGCCTGCAACTTTATTTTAATCAAAACACTTTTGTCAAGTTTTTTCATAGCATCCAACTTAATTTTCATAAAAGCAAGAGCTCACTGTTTGTACTTATTATTCAATTAGTTGGCCCAGTGTTTTATTTGGCTATGTAATTATAAAATAGTACAACTAGCATAAGCAGGTTTGGGAATGAACTCAATTTTGACTCTAGGAAGAAAGCACATAATGTAATTGGTCAGAACAGAAGTGCTGAGCCTAGAAGAGACTGGACTGTCAGTCAGAAGATTTTAGAGATGTGGATATTCATCAGCATATTTTATAGAGAAAACAGCACATCTGCTAAACTGGCTAGTCTTCTTTCGGAATGTCTTCTTTCTCATCAGTTCTAGAGCATGGGTTGCAAATTGGTGGTTTCATTTGGACAACATGGAGTATTAAAACTTTTTGAGTCTTTTGCCAACATTCAATAATTGGCAGAGATATTAACACTGTTAGATGACTTCCACCCTCTTTGACGTATGTTTTCACTAGAAACAGTAAGTATTTAAGAGGCAGTCAGTATTGTCTCCTATATTTAAACACTATTGTGATAATTCACTGAGTGGGGGTCAGTTAAAAGAACACATTTCATAAACATTCTTTTTTTTCCCCCTTCAAATCATGTCTTGTGTAACTGACTGTATTAAGCTGTCTTAGATGTAGTCACATTCCTCTCTTGCTTTCCTGAGACTACACTCACCTCTTTAGCCACCCAATGAACAATCCTAAGTCAGGAAGATTTCCTTTTAGTTTATTACAAACTCATTCTACAGATCCAAGTTTGGGACTTACCTTGCTGCAGCCACAATGTGCTGCTCCCAGGAACTGCTAGCAGTAAGGATAAAATGAAACTATATGTAAAAACACTGTTTAAACTCAAAAAGCCCTGATCTAAGGGTGAAGTCAATTATTTTGTATGTATTTATCATATCATCCCACTAGATTTTGGGTTCCTCGAGGATATGAATAAAATCACAATTTTATATGTATGCTGGTACAAAGCCAGCCTCAGTACTGACTACATAGTGATGATCCAGGTTACATGGGGATTTATCCTGTATGGATATATACAAATATTCCTTGTTGTCCTTATCTACCAGTATAAGCATGCATAGGGCAGAGGATCTCATCAATTCGGACTGTCCTGTAAGTCCCAGAGCATTATGGGTGCCCAAGAAAACCATGAATTTTACAAGATTCTCCACTCCAGAAAGAAACACTCTTGGTGGCAGCTTCTGGGAATCATCAGGATGACAATGGAGATTGACAAAGAGAACGAACATGTGGTTTTATCTGGGAGGAGTAACAGTTTCACATCACACCAAAGTGTTGGTTTTTTTGTTTTGTTTTTTGCTGTTGTTTGTTTTGAAACAGAGTTTCGCTCTTGTTACCCAAGCTGGAGTGCAATGGCATCATCTCGGCTCACTGCATTCTCTGCCTCCCAGGCTCAAGTGATTCTCTTGCCTCAGCCTCCCAAGTAGCTAGGATTACAGGTACGTGCCATCACGCCTGGCTAATTTTTTTGTATTTTTAATAGAAATGAGGTTTCATCATGTTAGCCAGGCTGGTCTTAGAACTCCTGACATCAGGTGATCTGCCCACCTTTGCCTCCCAAAGTGCTGGGATTACAGGTGTGAGCCACTGTGCCCAGCCTTTTTTACATTTTTATTTGCTCTCTTTCTTTAAAACATCTATTTTTAAAATCATTGAATATATTCTTCACAGGCAAAGTTTCTGTTATTTTCAGGAAGGAAAGCAACTTGCCATGACTTGTTTATTTTTTCCTGGTCACTGGTAATACCTTTATGGTATTTTTTTTTCTTTTTTCTTTCTATCTTTGTTCTTTTGTCAAGGGGTGGGGGATAATAGAAGAAAATAAGGATGTGTCTGTTATAAGATAAAAAGAAGCTTAGTTCTTGAAGTCCTGTAGGAGGCCAATGCAAATCTTAGTCTTAGTTTCAAATATCCTAAAACAATGATTCTCAAACTTTAACCTGCGTCAGAATCTCCTGGAGGGCTTGTTAAAACACAGGTTGCTGGACTCTGTCTCTATAATTTCTAATTCAGTAGGTATGGGATGAGACCCATGAATTTGCATTTCTACCAAGTTCCCAGCTCATGCTCTAGGTCCAAGGATCATACGTTCAGAATCACCACCCTAAGCTCTAGAATGCTATTTCAGCTACTGTATATGAACAACACTTAGAGTATGCCAGGCACTATGCTGAGTATACTAAGATGGGTGAGACTCAGCCCATGCCCTCGAGGAGCTCAAATTCTAGGTGGGGAAACAAATAGACATACACATGAATATATTTATTTGTTGAGAACAGATAAGGAAATACAGGATCAGTGTTCTTTCTCTGGACCTCAGTTTCCCTCCTCATATCCCAGGCCTCTACTAGTGCCATTCATTCTACTGACCATTTCAACAGGAGAGCTGTTTCTAGATCCTAGTTGATAAGGAACCTTGAGGGGTAGGTGGATGGAGAAGCCTAAAGCCATTTTTATTAAAATGTCAATGCCACTAGCTGCCTTTGGGGCCAGGAAAGCACTAAGGAAAGATCCAAGAGGGTGTGGGCACAAGTCAGCAGCACATTGATGGGGAAGGCAGAGTGGGTTGGCTGGGGATTACTTCTTTACTCAGTCTCAAAACCCCCAATTTTTCTCTCTTCATGTGTAAATGTCACTCTTATTTAAGGCTTGGCTTAGATGCCCCCCATTTCTGTAAAGTTTTTCACAACCCTCTACTCTCTACTGTCCCCAGTGATACCCCAACTCTGAACAGTTATAGCATTTGATTTTTGCCTCTTCCAAGAAAAGTGAGTTCTACTTTTGCTCAGAGTTCTTCACTGCACATAGCACTGCATCTGGAATAGCATTCAATACACGTCAAATAATTAAAGAATAAGTAAACAGAGAGTTGATGCTACAGAAACTATTTCAACCCCCAAATTCACAATATAAAAATGGGGGGAAAAAGGCAAAAGGGAAGTTGGGATAGAAACAGATCAGAACTGACCAGTTCCAGAATTTGTCTGGAGGTTAGGTAGAAGTAATTCTAGGTTTGCCAGGGGTTATGATTAGCCAGTGGAAGGTTATAGGAATTCTAGGATCCATTCAACCATCCATTCATTATTTAGCTTTTCCTTTGTTCACTAGTATTCCAAGTGTGGCTCCCTTGGGCAGTATCTTCTCTCATCCCGAACCTTCCTGAAAACAGAACTCAGCATTTGATGGATCCCTGAAAACAGATCCACAATGTGTTAACAAAATAAGTAATTTACTGAAAATTTTCCTGAAGAGAAGGGAAAGGGAATTGACTTCATACACCATACAACAAAGACTTCTCAAACTCCTCATTAATCATTTTGGTTTCCTTCAGCATCTTCTTAGGTCAGCCCTCTCAGATTTTAGCATGTATTCCCTAACAGCCTCTGAAATCCTGTCTGCTGCCCCAGGTACTTTAGATGTTTTCAAATTGCAACAATCCGCTATACAAAATGGACGGCTAAGAGTTGGCCCAACTGTTATAGGTAGCCAGGCATGAGCTGGGCAATAGTAGGCTCTTCCTCGACCCACTAGAAATGTCAGGTGATGGTTCGACCATTATCACATTGCCTCTCTAAAAGTGATAAATTGGCAGCCAGCCAGCACCAGGGAGGGCTCATTTCCTGATGGTCCACACCTGTTAACATTAAAGGGTTAATTAAAGGCAGACCCCAGGGAGAAGAAATTTCCTGTGCATGCACATTAAGAGGTAAAAATGGCAAAGTATGATTGCCTGGGAAAAAGGAAGAAAGCCTCTGATGGGCATGTGTACAACTTCCTAAACTCACTGCACATGTTCACCTCCCAAGGGTAGGGAGGGCTCTGCACATGCGGGCATCCCACCCTGAGGGAGGAATCATGGGAAAGAGGCAAACCTATGAAAGTCCCAGGACCATGATTAAATGGGGCACTTGACCTTCTCTCTCTCTTCAACCTTCACATGCCCTCTTGGATCTCTTCCAAGTGAACTTTCCTTTCTTTCCTGCTCTAAGGCCTTTTAAATAAACTTCCACTTTTGCTCTGGAACTTGCCTCAGTCTCTTTTTCTGACTTATGCCCCTCAGTCGAATTCTTTCTTCTGAGAAGGCAAAAATTGAAGTTGCTGCAGACCCATAAGGATTCACCACCGGCATAAATCAGATCTCACCCACAGGTAATGCAACCACGATCATCTATGCTTCCCTGAGCGTGTCCCTTTGGGATCTCCACATTCAGTGTATACAACTGTAGAAACTCTTGTTAGCCAGTCTCCAAGCTGCTCCCCGCTCAATGATCATGCCCTGAGGTGGTCCCTTTCCATAAAGAATTAGAGCTGGCCCTTGTGACAAACAGAATCAGGTAGAAGTAGACTGTGTAACTCTAGAGTTAGGTCCAAATGTCCTTGAAACATCCACTGTGTTCTGTGGGAGCATATGCTTTTGCAGCTCTGAATTGTGATATGAGACGTCCAACTCACCAGAGGCCACCACACTGGAAAGACTACTCAAGAAACCTCACAGTGTGGCCCAGAGACTACAAGACAGTGAGAGGCCCAGCTGGCCCTCGACTGTGCCAGCCTCAGCCATTTCCATCATCCCAGCCGAGGCCCCAGACATGGCATGGAGTAGGGACAAATCATCCCCTTAGGTACAAATTGCAGATTCCTGAGAAATGCCTGTGGCATTAAGCTATTAAATTTTGGATGGTCTGTTATACAACAACAGATTACAAGAATATCCTCCTACTTAACAACCAGCTCCCAGGGCACTGGGCAAGCCAGGAAGACCCCCCTCTCTTGAGGCTGCTGATACATCGCACACCTTGGAAGATCCCACTATTGGCTCATGAGTCCTCCAGGCAGCTCCAGGGCCTTAATGGCCCTCTTCCCATGCTCCTTCAGGCTCTCTCTTCCAGGCCACCCTTCCTCAAACTTCCACTCTACTCCTGTGGCAAATCAAGCCCTTTCTTAGAATCCCCAGTGGATCCCATAGGTCCTAGAATAAAATCCAGGCTCCTCACTGTGGCCTAAAAGGTGATACATGATTTAGCCCCTACCTAGGTCTCTCACCTCATCTTAGATATTTTACTTCATATTTTCTCAGGTCATCACACCTCAGGTGGTACTAGCTTTCTTCAGTTCCTCCGACAAACCAAACTCGCAATCAGTTTGACCAGTTTCCTCACTTGAATGTTCCTTCTACACCGTCCCCAGGACTGGCTCTTCTATCTCATCTTGTCGGTGTCTCTCAGCTTAAATGACACTCCTGTGGAAAGGTTTTTTTTCTGAGCCCCCATGTGCCTATCTCAGTCCTTACCAGTGGTATAACACTTACCATAACTCAAATATATTTTTAAAATCTATCAGCTTACTTGCTTTTCGTCAATCAGCTTCACTAGAATATAGGCCCTGAGAAGTCAAGGAATGTGTCCATCTTATTAGTAGCACTCAGGAATACACCTCACTATAGTAGATGCTTAATAAACATTTATTGAATGCTAATGTCAAGAACTCTTCTTGCACATGCTTTCATGGAAGTTTTTATATATCCAGCAGACCTTCCTAGCAAGGCCTCCCTTGCTTGTAAAATCCTTTTATTGTCAATAAACCATAAATAAATGGTAGATCTAGATATTTCTGAGTTTGAGAGAAAATATTTTTTCTGGTTTTTATAAAACCATTTTAAAACTTTTTATTATGGATAATTTCAAACACGTACGGAAGTAGAGAAAATAGTATAATGAATCCACATGAACCCATTACTGGCTTCAACAGCTATCAACTCACAGCCAATCTTGTTT